CATTGGATCCAATGGACAGCTCAAATGTCCATTGAACATGTGCATGTCCAATGGACATATCGAATGTCCATTGGATATTCGAGTGTCAATTGGATCCAATGGACTAAACCGGACTTTGTAACGACCGGGAAAGGGCATCGTGGATATACTGAATGGGTATAATGTCCAATGATCCATTGGATCCAATGGACATTTTAAATGTCCCATGGACATATGAAATGTCCATTGGACATTTGACGACCAAGGAATGTCCATCAATTGAATATATAGCTACTTCTCAATGCTTCCTTGTATTATCAATATATTATGTTGCTAACGACGCAATATATCAATATATTATGTTGCTTTGTTCCTAAGAAAGCACGCAATATATCAATATAATATGTTGTTGCTTCGTTCTTAAGGAACGACGCAATATATCAATATATTATGTTGCTTTGTTCCTAAGAAAGCACGCAATATATCAATATAATATGTTGTTGCTTCGTTCACTCGACACAAATTCTGCAAAAGAGCCTGAATGGTTCATGTCGATAAACAAATAGAATCGATTGTATTCGATGTCACAATGGTCAATGCGCACATGTTTAATAAACTTGTCTATTGAATATTTGTCTATTGATATCCTACTATTAATTTGTTTATTGTCGTGGGATATCAGACCTCTCAACTTTGCAGATTTCCCCCCAAATTATCCATTATACTCACGGATGTCAAATGTATTACAAAACACCAGTATTCTAGCGATTTATGGCCTTCGAAAATCAAGCGAAATTGTATTGTTGACAAATCGCTCAAAATTATTAAACTATTAATTATAAAAAAATGCAGTATATATACGTTTGATCCTTGATAACTTTGGTATCATTGGTTTTCTCTTTTTCTGCCGTATACTAGTGGATTCGTCTCACTCCTCTCTTCATTTTGATAGTATTTTGAGCTAGCGTACGGACCAACTGGCGGCTGACAGTCTTGAAGAAATTAGAATGTAGCGAACTAAATATACTTAAGCCTTTCGCGCTCGTATTCGACTTTTCCGCTTAGTTCGGGGAAAACCTTAAATCTTAATTGAAATACCTGTGTACTGTATGTATCATCTACAGTAATATACGTATTTGTATAATCCCAGCGAGTTAATGCTCCGTAGAGCGTTCTACTCGGACTGATTCTGTCTTTTGTCCACCGTATTTACATATGCGTACTATTTTGTATCCAAATTGCGGGCAAAATGTCGGGCTGTACATGCAGGAACAATAACACGCGATTACTGCTATTTGCAGATGAGCTCGCCGCGCGCCGAATTTTCGAACGTTTTTTCATGTGTCAACAAACAGTTGATTGGCTTCCAACGCCACGTTGGCGCGGCGCCAACGCTACGTTGAGGGCGGCCATTGATATAGTTGAGGCGGCGCCAACACTACGTTGCCTAAAGCCCGTTCTCCACTAGGCGAATTTATTCGCGCGAACAGATAAAAAGTAGGAAGCGATCCTACTTTTTCGCCGCGAATTTTTTCGCCGACCAATCACGTTGCCGGATTTCGGTTTTCGCTTCGCGTCGCGCGAAAAAATTCGCCTAGTGGAAAACGGCCTTAACGCCTATATTAAAATGGATGATTGTCGAAAATCAACTATTATTTTTTATTATTATTATTTAAACATATTTATCCACGGTAGCCTTTCAGTTGCCTGTTTTTCAAAGGGCCGTGGTCTAAAACTGCTAAAAAGACATAAAACTAAATCTAAACCTAATGTATAACACACTAACATTAATTCAAATTGAAGTGTAACATGCATAACGACCTTACAATGCAAATAAACATTCGATAAAATTTCGGGAAAATTTCGCTATCTTAGCAATTTTTAATAAGCCTTTTGAACTGATTCAATGAAAGATGCTCATGTTCCTCAAGAATTTCGTTTGGAAGTTTTGATTGATTGATTGATTGATTGATTTTAATAATTACCACATTGTAAATTAATAAAAATTTTAAAAAACGTGATATTACATAGATAGTATTAAAATTTTTAAATTTGCAAAAAGTTCAATTTAAAACTACTATAATATAAACTATATTAATGATATGTACTATAAAATATTTTGTTATGTCTATGCTCGGTCCCAGTTTCTAACACACTTTGGGATAAAACTGTTCTTATATCGTTCAGTTTTGCACTTATACATAGGATAAGTGCGTTTCAGATTTCTTAGACTGAATTTGTGAGATATAGCACTGGGAAGTAGCGTTCTCAACTTATCGTCTGAGTGTTGATGGATATTCTTATAGAATGACAAGCACTGATTCTCTCTTCGCTGGTAAAGTGTAAGAAGGCCAGTGTTTCTTAGTGAGGTAGTATAGGAGGACTGGGGGAAAGCGATTTTCAATGCACGTTTTTGTATACTCTCGATTTGATTAGCGAGGAATTGAGGGAGAGAAAAATGCCATACAGGTGAGGCGTATTCCAAAACTGGACGAATAAATGCACAAAAGACCGTTATTAAATCATTGGCTGGGGCACCAGATCGTTTGAGGATCCTTAGAGCATAAAGACGTTCACTTGCTTTGGTGCAGATGTAATCAATGTGCGCATTCCAGGTAAGATCCGATGATATTATCACTCCCAGAAGTTTGAAGGTCTGGACGATTTCTATGTTTAAACCAGATGACGAGAGGGCATCGAATACCATAGGGACTCTAAGAAAGGATATACGCAGTTCTTTGGTTTTAGATACATTAAGCCGCATGTTGTTGTGATTGGTCCAGTCATTTATAGTGTTTATATTAGCTTGAAGCGATGAAGTAGGGAACGATCTTGAAACGATTTCGTATGTGGAGCAGTCATCGACATATTTGTACATTGGAGTGTTGGTTTGCAAGTCATTTATCATCACAAGGAAGAAGAGGGGTCCAAGTTTTGTACCTTGTGGAACCCCTGCATTTATTTGTCGCCATGTTGATTTATTCTGGCCAAGCTTGACACGTAAATATCGGTCATGCAGGAACTTAGCGCACCAATTCAACAAGATAGGAGGGATGTTGAGTTGTTGTAATTTATGAAGTAAAATATTGTGATCGATGCGATCAAAGGCTTTCGAAAAGTCAATCATACAACATCTGATAGTTGAACCAGGGTTTTCTAATTCGGCTAGCCAGTTATGGATCATGTGGATAAGAGCGTGTGTGGTGGAGCAATTTTTCATATTTCCGAACTGGAGCGGGTCGATTGATGGTTTAATACAACCAAAAAGCCACCGAAAAACAAAGCTTTCCAATAATTTACTCAGCACCGGTGTGAGAGAAATAGGTCTTAGGTCGCTATCAACTGATTTGGGATTAGATATTTTTGGCGCTGGGATAAGTTTATTCCATGACACTGCTGCGCGGTAGGAAAAACGTTTCTTAAGGAAGTTAGTGTTTGGTTTTGATAAGTGAAGTTTTCGTTCGTTACTTCTCAATGCATAATTGTCGTTCTGGGACATAGTAAACATTTCTGTTAAATATTTTGGTGTCATTTTGTTAATTGCCTTAAATGTCATTGTTTGTTCACGTTGTTCGAGGATATTTGCAATGGGCTCCCAATTCAATCTATTTAAGACAGTGGCGTGCTGGGTACTATTTTTCTGGAGGGGCCAGTGGGCTGTCAACCAATATGCGCCCCTATAATGTTACACTTGATAAACGAGGGCCGAAGGCACGAGCCGAGTGCCGCAGGTGCGAGGTTTGTCTAGGGGGGTCCGGGGGCATGCCCCCCTGGAAAATTTTTGAATTTAGAGTCTCTGAAATGCCATTTCCTGGACTTTGGGGGAAGATTTGACAGAAATCTGATGGTCAGGAAACGGCATTGTAACGTGTCGAAATTTGCAATTCGGTTAGAATTAGGAGTAGTACTTAAATTATGCAATGCTAACTACTTCCAGCGATTAATCTAATCCCAATTCTGTTCTCTACTGATCTACTGTTCTGAGTACATTTACAACTTAAAGCTCTTTTATACAATAACACAAGCAACCCACGCATATGCATTTTAAGGTTTCCTTGCCTGGCTGCCAAAAGGGCATGTTTCAGCATTATTTCATTACTTACATTACTCATGCTTCTTGTGCAAACAACTAAATTGCGTACACAACTTTACATCGGTTATCATAACTTCAACTATCTAATTTGCGCCGCCCTCGTGATTCGTGAAGCAGAATAAAGGGCATATTATAAGGGCATAATACCAGCAAAAAAGGCATAATTCCCGTGATCGCTTCGATCCAAACCTGACCAATATTCCGGTAATGAGACATTGCCTGTGATCACTGATCATGTTTCTATATGAACGATTTCGTGTGAGCTGTGAGGTAGCAAATACGGTTAGGCAAAATAGTCTGTAATTTACTATATGTCGCCTATGCGCTTAGTCTGTTTTATACTGTAGCCTATAAACACGTCTTTTCTTGGCGGAAGTAACCATATTTTTTCGAGAATGTGTTTTTTCCCACCCACTTTCAAAATTCGGCGCCCCATTTTCATTTTTGCGCCCCCCAAGAATTGCCAGCTGGGGGGATCCCCCCCCCCCCCTTTTAGCCGCCAC